TTCTCTGCAATAAAAGCCCCCAAGAGAAAATCCTGAAAAAAACACTGAGTAAGAACATCCTTATTGATCCAGTGTTACTGTGGGAGGAAACCTCAACTAAACTAATCTATACTAAACTAACTATGACTTTATTTATACTGGATAACTCCAAACTGATCCAGAAATGGCTATCTCTTACAGCTCCACTGGGATATTTACAAACCTTGTACGGTCCCCTGCAGCACTCTTATGACCAACTTTCAGCATTGTGTAACGACCCAACGCGATCATTGGTCTCGACAACGTGTAGTTTGCCGCACGAATCCTGCAACAACATTTATATATAGAATTATGAGAGCAGTACAGTAAATCCCCGCATATAAGAACCGAGAATTTAAGAACCTGTTAGACTAAAAAATTCTATTTAGAGCCCCTTTAAACAAGAACCTGTTTATAGGCTAGAATTTCAAATTTTCTTATTTTATCAAAAAGAGTCAAAACTAAAAATTTAAACATCATTCATCAAGGAAAATAAGCTCTTCACAAAATATAATGAAAATGACCCAGAACCCTTACCCTGGAAATGTCATTCACATAAATAATATACAAATAATGAATGTTTATGAGTGCAATGGTAAGAATATTTTCATGAGATGAAAAGATGGAATGTTCCATTCAACGAGGCGACAGCCGAGTTGAATGGAACATTCCATCTTAAAAATTAATTAAAACGCGATTTGAATTCAAAGGGGAAAAGTTTACAATGTACACACATAAAAACGCACAATTTGTTACAGGTCTGCAAACAAGTTGTTACAAATCTGTTCACAAGCTGTCGACAAGTTGTGTTCGCATTGCTTGTTCCCAGTTGTTGTAACAAGCTGTTGACAACTTGTAACAAGCTTGATGGCATTATCAGACTTGTTACAAGGCTGTTCTAACAAGTCCGATACAGTCATGATATATAATAACAAGAACGTTACAAGATTGGCGACACAAGGTTGTAACAATATTGTTATATCATGACTGTATCGGACTTGTTGGAACAACCTTGCAACAAGTCTGATAATGCCATCAAGCTTGTTACAAGTTGTTAACAGCTTGTTCTCAAAGACTCAAACTTGTTGACAACTTGGGACAAGCAGTGCGAACACAACTTGTTGACGGCTGGTTGGCAGACTTGCTACAAGATGTGAGGTTTTTACGTGTGTACTAGCTTTATCAACTATAAATGTACGAAAAAATTTGATGTACATTATACGTGTACTTTTGTGGAATTAGAATATGAATTGAAAGAAAGTTAATCCAAGTTTCAAAATTCCTGAAGTTGATCACAGAAACTGAACAATATTATTACCTTTTGTATAAGTCATCGTCTTCGCCACCCCAACCCCAAAATTTATTTGAAAACCCATTTATTTTCTCAAACTGTTCTTTGGTAAAAGCACCAACGCCTCCAAAGATACTAGCGTAAGGTAACCTAAACAAATATTAAGATTGCGTTAATTTTCCTCCAGTCCTAGGACTGAATAGTCCTTTCCGGTAATTACGTCACGACTAACACTGTTTTCAACTTAGGACCACCTTAAATGGAATGGATTTTAAGTTTGTTTTACTGACAGTGGTGCCTAAATTACTTTTAATTTGTACTCGAGTAAAAGTAGAAGTAATTAACAATAAAACGACTTGAGTAAGAGTAAAAAGTACTGGAGGCAAAAGTACTTAAGTAAAAAGTACAAAGTATCCTTAAAAAATACTTGAAGTACAAAGTAAAAGTACTATTGTCTGTAGCGTGTAGGGGGGGGGGGGGGGGGGGGG